GAGGAGAGAGATCTCAGAAGAGCATTTTGCTGTTCTTCAAGACTCACTCAGTTTCTAACACCCAGTTTTAGTAAATGTTATGAAAACCAATTAAAACTCGGAATTGTATTATAAATTTGAAATTAAAATGAAGCCAATATCATTTACCTTGAAATTGGGGCATATGTATAACATCAACAAACACATAAAAAAGAATCCTTACTTCAGTTAAGTCTAAAAACATTTGCTCTGTAGGAACTCAAAGAAGTGACGAGCAAACAAACAAAAACCCTGGAGAGCACAATAACTTCTTAGAAAAATCTAATTTTTTTTAAACGATTCTAGAAATTAAGCCTGGAGTCTACAACATACCAAACAAGTACTCTGTCACTGAACCACCTCTGGTCCATCAAGTTTTTACTAAAAAGAAAAAGGTGCTTCAAATTCTATAAAGATTTTTCTTAGAAATCTTATTTTTCAAGTGTAGTGTAACGTAGAACACTGGACATGCTGATTTAAAAGGCTGACCTTTGTCGCAGCTGCAGGCAGTGTTTGGGAAATTTGCTTCAGTTCTCTAGGGAAAACTGCAGGCACATCAAATTCCTGATAACAGACTTGTGTCTAGGAGCAGGCGCATTTTAGAGAAAAAGCCACGACACAGGGTGAGGGTAAAAATCACCAATGATATTATGATTAATGTGTGGTTTTGCTAATGAATATGTTCCAAAGAACATACTCAAAATAATACTAATATTCAGTAAAATACAAATTTAACATACTAAGTATATGTGTTTAGATTACACATAAACCTATATAGTAAAAATGTATGTTTCATCTCTGTTTGTTGTTCAAGAGGGTCTTCTTATGTAGCTCATGCTGACCTTGAACTCTGATCCTTCTGCCTCAGCCTTCCAGTGATGGAATAATAATCATACACCACCATGCTTGGCTTCATTGTTTTTTATTTTTTGTCTGTTTTTTTTTTTTTTTTTTTAAATATCAGGAACTAAGGTTTCCAGTCATTTGGTTAAATAAAGGAACCAGGCCTGCTACTTCTAAATGTAGCCAGGTAATCAGGCATTTTCCAGTGGGAAATCAAGCCAATAAATGGATGACTTACAAACTTAGCAGCACAAGGAAAGGGGAAACTAGTCTAGTGGTTACTATGTAACACTATATTACAATACCGGTAATCAAATCATTTAAAATTTCCAAATTATTGAAAGATACCTTTTCTCAAGTTGCAGCTCCTCAAACTGTTACTCAACTGGCTTTGTGCTCAGTCAGGTGATGAAGAACAATTAGCCATTGTTGTACCTCCTGTCAAAAGCCCGGGCAGGTCAACTTACTGTCTGGACAATTGTCAACATACTGTCCTATAACTGGTGGATTGTGAATTTCTGATATTAACCATGTACTGCCATTCATTCTTAAAGGGCCAGGTTGATCTCTCCTGTTGCAAGAAGAGTTGAAAGCATTAGCTAAAAGAGTGTTCTGCTGTATGTTAAAGAATCCAAAACCACAAAATGAACCCTACAAGTGCAATTTCTTTTCAAAAGGTTTTGTCTACCAACCAGGCAATTACATTGTCACATAGCAGCCCTCTAAATGGATTGTATTTAGTGTATAAATGGTTAAGCCACAATCTCTATGTCAAATATGGTTCTACCTTTTATAGCTGAGTTTGAATATGGACATTAGTTGCCTGAATACAATTTTTGATATTCCTTTGTCATTTCCATTAACGAGCATCCCATCCAGGCAAATAAAACTAATGAGTTTCCAATGGAGTGAAAAAAGATTGGGTCATACTTATGATACAACAAGGCAAAGGCATAGATAGCAACATGTAAAACTAAACTATGCTGGTAAGGAGATTCTTAATTATAAACCTAAAATAGAAGTCTGTTTTAATCCCTCCATCTTTAAGAATAACTCATTAGTGTGTATTAATTGCATAAAATAATGGGTTTATTTTGATACTTTTTTTGGGGGGGGGTGTCGAGATAGGGTTTCTCTGTGTAGCTCTGGCTGTCCTGGAACTCACTCTGTAGACCAGGGTAGCCTCGAACTCTCGAACTCAGAAATCCGCCTGCCTCTGCCTCCCAAGTGCTGGGATTAAAGGCGTGTGCCACTTATTTTGATACTTTAACACATGTTCTTTCATCTTCTTAAACAGTTAATTTCCAATCTAGAATGTCATGTTTCTTGAAGGAATTTTCTCTTTATAGAGTTTGTTCCTAACAGATGATGAAGCACAGAACCAACAGTCCACATAGCAGGCAGAATCTAATTATCTTAACGATAATATGAACAACATTCTTTAGGCACAATTTTACAAAGGTTTATACACACATATATGCATACACATATATTTAGTCTAATTTGATATCCCTTGGAGAGTATTTTAAAAGTGTATTTTGTTAATGACTAGTGCAGAAGACTTATATGAGAACAGATTACTCTGATCTTCATGCTGTTTTCTTTTACTGGCAAAGGAAAGGAGAACATATTTATTGGGAGAGTCTCATGACCAAAAAGATGGCCTTAAAAATGCAATTATTTCACCAAACATTACAGCATACTTTTCAACACATAATGTGATTTATAGGGTTAATTATGAAATTACAATTTTTAAAAGTCTGGAAACTTGGATTTTAAATTCAAACATTTACTCTGATAACAGGGATAGACAAGCAATTTTGGGCAGTACTGAGCTGTTACCAAGATATATCGATTCTGCTCCTTTGGTATCAGATCTTCAGTGACAAGAAACATCTTCCTGCAGACACTTAAACCCAACGTCTTACAAAGAAATGTCTTCTGGTTTAAAGACATTTTGTTGTTGATACCCATTTTTACCTTTTGATGCTGAACTCCCCGAAGGTGTTAATATTTTGACTCAGCAGGTTCTGGAGACAGTCTAGAGATTTGATTGTTTACTACGGTCATTTAAAACTAGAGAAACTGGGAAACCTTTGGTAATGTTCCTAGTACAACTTCAGCTGCGATAATTTTATCTTTGGGTCCTCTGCAATGTGTTGAAGAATCTGAAAGTTTCCATTTAATACCCATCAATCGACTAAAGTCAGTGTTCTGGATGATTCCTGGATTATTGCCCCTAATAATAAACCACGCCATGCTAAAACTAAGACCTTAGAAAAAGCCATTCAAAAGCAATTCTTTGGGTAAGCTCAACAATCTCTAACGCCCAACAATGACCATCCAAGTAGCCAGAGTTCGACATGTGTTTTTTGCAAAGAAACTTAGGCATGGAAATGTTAGGGAACTTGCCCATGGTACTAAATCTGTAAACGGAAAGATCGGAAGCAGAAATGTAGCTCAGCTTTCCCTGGAACCATTCAATAGCTACTTGAATGTTGTCAAGTAAGAATCTTTGTAAACACTTTTTCTCATAGCCGTGTTCTTTTCAAAGGCATACTTAAGCCAAATCCACACCCCTTGTCATATTCTCTCCCAGGAGTGGTAACTTCTTTGGCTGTATCACTTTTACTTCCAGAACTATTTTTTTTTTAACGAACAATATTGTTTCTGAACAATAAGGACGAAACTTTCTCTTTGACAATGCAACCGAATTCACGTCTCCGTAGTGTGACGTTTCGGGAAAGCGCTTGTGTCTCAGGTTTTGAAAAAACGGCTTTCAGCTGAGTCTTCTACTGCGTAGACTGACAGCAGATCAGCAGCACGCTCCGAAACGCCAGCCGGGACAGGCCCACGGCGACCCACCCCGAGCAATTATTTTCTGCTCGTTTCTACGCATTAGTGAGAAAAATCCTTGGCTTTTCTGAGGAAGTGCAAGCACCTAACTACGACCCGGGTGAGGAAAGGCCACACCTCCACTTTGTAAGTTTCTATTTGCTCCGCTCCGGCATCCTCGGAAGAGCCGACTTACTAAAGGAAAAAGGCGTGCGTGAGACCCACCGGCGCCGCGCACGCTGGGAAAGGGGCCACAGGTCCCGCCCCCGTAAGGTGGGCGTCTGGTTTACCCAATAGCCTCAATCTCCTCAGCGACCCTCAGCTTCAGGGCTCCGCCTACTTTGGGCTCCACCCACTTTAGGTTCCCCTTTCCTTAAACCTCCGGGTGTTCTAGGCTCCACCCACCTCAGGCCCTGCCCCTTAGGCTTGCTCGCCTCAGCTAGGGGCATCCCCTGGCCTCACCTACTTCAGGCTCCGCCTTCACGGCCCGCCCGCCTCAACCCGCTGGCTGGGCCTAGCAGCTTTGGCAGCAGCGAGGGCTGAGGGAAGTAGTGAGATCCCGCCATTCCACCCTCTCACCTCGGACTGTAGGTTAGGTTCATCTCAATCCGGGGAACGAAGCGGCGCCATCGCCGACACACACCCTGCAGGCTGCTCTGTAGTGCGGCGACGAGGAAGGCGTGGAAGAGGAGGGTCGAATCTTCGGTCCGCTCAATTAAGGGAGGAGCCGGGTTGCGCTGTCCCGCCCTCAGGGCCTCCGCCCTGGGTGTCCCACTCTGCGAGGCTCCTGCCGCCTGGGCGCTCAGAGGTAGAGCAACCCGCGATGCCCGCTCTCTCAGTGCGTTTTCGATCCCATGTGCACAGTGGTCTTGGTTGTCCGAGAAGGGTCACTGGGCTTCCTTCCTGGCATCCTGGCCTCTAGGAATGCGCCCCGGGAGTGGGCCGCCTCTACTCAGCTGGACTCTTCCCAGTCAAATTCCAGCCCTAGCCTGGACCTCAGAGCTAGCGAACCCATTCAAAGAGGTGTATACACACACACACACACACGCACGCACGCACACACACACATTTAGTTTATGTGTGTATAAGTGACTTAACCTTTATGTATGTATGTGCACCTCGTGGGTATCTGGTGTCCGCGATGTCCCCTGGAACTGGACTTATAAATGGTTGTGAGCTACCATGTGGTTACGAAATCCCAAGATTGTCGCTACCCGCGTCCGACCAGCGGAATAAGGGAACTGTTGGTGTAATGGCGATTCAAGCCGCGCCCTACACAAGATAACTGCAAGAGTAAATGTTCTTAATCACCGGGTAACTGAAGTTATTTGTGAATATATAGACGTAAGAACAAAATGCCTGGTTTGCACTTCAGGCTCCTAAACACCTAAAGGCAGGACTACCTGACAAAATGTTTTCTTAAGGAGCTTTTTAAGATAGAATATATGATATTATCATAGCGGTGTATGATAAACCACACACACTTAAAGTGAACAGCTTGGTAAGTCTTTTGCACATACATTAATCAAAATTATGATTGCAAATACATCCATCAAAATCCCGTTAGAACTTACTTTGACCATTCTCATTTGTTCTTTTATTCCTAGTCCCCAAGGAACCATTAAGCTTTCTGTCATTGGATTAATTTGATCATGTTATATTATCCTTTAAATTATATTATTGGATTCTTTGGGTAAGATTTTTAAAGAAGTTTTGCATATGCATTTATGAGAGATATGGGCCTGTAATATTGTGTTGGATATAATTTTATCCAGTTTTGGATAAATACTGGCCTCATGGATGATATTTGAAAGAACCTTAATAACTCACCCAATGTATACAGGCAGTACCCATGTGTATCAATAGGTCAGGTGTCCACATGACAGATTTGGACAGAGTTCTTTTTTGTTTGTTTGTTTTGTTTTGTTTTTGTTTTTCAAGACAGGGTTTCTCTTTATAGCCCTGGTTGTCCTGGAACTCACTCTGTAGACCAGGCTGGCCTAGAACTCAGAAATCCACCTGCCTCTGCCTCCCAAGTGCTGGGATTAAAGGCGTGCGACACCACTGCCCGGCTTGGACAGAGTTCTTATAGGCAGTGTGGACAGCCTGTAAGAGTTTCCATGACATCTTCCATTCAACATGTGTTTATTACACCTTGTATGTGTTGTTGCTTCTTCAGCCTGGAGAATCAGCTTCTCTGTTCTTTGTCTGAGAGTGAAGGTGAATCCCAATCTGAAGTTAAAGTAAATGGTTCAGATTTTATGAGAATTCCCGCCGGTGCCAAGGGCTTGGAGCGGATTTGCTCTAATCCAGAGAAGTAAAGAGACTGGATGAGTATCTGCTCATGTCTCCTTTTACCTTGTTCTAGTGCCATGAAGAGTGTGGACAGGCTTCAGAGCCTCCCTTCCTGGGCTCTGCTTTTGGCAACGGTATAGATCACATGAAGTTGGTTCAGTTTCAGAGGGCTTTGTCCAGACTTTACCAGTTAATGGCACATGACCAGAATGTCTTTATGATCTATCTCCAACTTACGCAGAACCCAAAATAGTTAAGCATTAGTAGAATTTAGTAGAATTTTGACTTATAGCAAGTATAGCACATCTATACTTCTATGATTAAAATTAATTTTTAATTCAATGTGGAACTCTTAGAATGGAAATATAGTAGGAAGTACACTTAGACCTAAAAAAGTACTCAATACTGGTACCAGTTCTGTCTGGTCCTCACCAGCCCTCCCTAGATGTTGTTAGAGTGATGTGGGTTTTGCAGGTTTTATTTTGGGGCACTGATGTACTTTTGTGTGTGGCTGTAGTTCCATGGTATTTTGAGTGAGATTTTTAAAATACTACAGTATCCACCATTAATTAATTAATTAATTCTTCAATGAAACAGGTTTCGAATACAGCAGAGAATAACCTTGGACTTCTGACTCACCCTTTTCTACCTGGCATTACAAACAGACGCCACCACACACTTTCTTTAAACATATATTTCTTTTTTTCAGACAGAGCGTCTGTGTATTCACAACCTGTCTCCAGCTACTTATGTAGTCAAGGATGGACTTGAATTTTCATCCTCCTGCTGATAGCTCCAGGAGCCTAGGATTACAGGTGTGTGCCACCAGGGGCACAGTCTAGGACTTTATGCATACTGTGAGAGCACTCTACTGATTGAACCACATCTGTTTACCACATTTATTTACCCAGAAATACAAACTGCACCTTGGAGATCTGTGCATGGGTGTTTGCACCAGCATTGTCTCACTCTCCCACTACTAAGGTTTTGTGTCCACTTAAGCACTTACTGCAATTTTCTGGTAGGTATAATTTGTGGAATTTTTAAAAGTCCTATTTTTGATTTTCTAAGATTTTCTTATCTTTTTTTGTTTTGTTTTGTTTTGTTTTTTCGTGACAGGGTTTCTCTGTGCAGCCCGGGCTGTCCTGGAACTCACTCTGTAGACCAGGCTGGCCTTGAACTCAGAAATCTGCCTGCCTCTGCCTCCCAAGTGCTGGGATTAAAAGCGTGCACCACCACTGCCCTGCAGATTTTCTTATCTTAATTAATCAAATAATAGCTATCAAATGTTTTCCCTGATGGTGACTAAGATGGCTGACTACAAGTTTTATATGCATTCTTCTGTTAATGTAGTGAATTACAGGCATGCATTCTGAAGTATTGAACTGCCCTTGACCGTCTGAGATAAGTCTACTGACTTAAGGAACGTTGCCTTGACAAGACCCTACAGATAGTTATATATGCTACTGCTGTTATCCAGCATTTTCTTTTCTTTTTAAATTTCCAGAAGAAATTTGCCAATAGAACTGTCAGGGTTTGTAGTTCACTTTGATAGGGTTCACTTTTGCAACAGATAAAAAGGCTATTCAAAACTTCCTTTCTTCTTGTGTAACATCTAATAAGTTTTTAATTTTTAATGAAATCAGTTTTTTTGGTTTTTTGGGTTTTTTTGGGGGGGGGGAGTTGGCCTAGGTTGTCAGATTTGTCAACATGAAATTATTCAAAAATGTTGTGTTGTGCCACCAACCAGTCAGCATACACCAGCTGATATGAGGCCCCCAACACATACAGTAGAGGACTGCTGGGTCTGGACTTAGTCAGCACCTAACCCTTGAGAGACTTGCGGCCCCAGGGAGTGGGGAGGTCTGGTGGGGTGGAGTGAGGTGGGGACATCCTCTTGGAGATGGGGGGAGGAGGTGTGGGAAATGGAACAGTTGGAGGGTGAACCAGGAGGGGGATAAAGTCTGGACTGTAAAAAAAAGATTGAAGAATAAATGAAAAAAATGTTCTGTTACTATATATTTAAATTTTAATTAATTTTCAGTTATCATACAATGAAATGGATTTCTGTATGATATTTGCTTACATATATATCTTGAACTTTGTTCATATTTATCCTGTTACCACTATCATTTAGTTTCTTTCACTCTGTCTTGCTGGTGCCCTTCTTTCTGGAAAAAGAATATATTTGAGAAAACATAGTATATTTTGTATTTCTAACTCTCGTGTTGCTGTTCCCTACTGTTACCTTTTCTCTCTCTTCATAGTCACTTTTATATTTTGATGTAATTCATATATATGTATATGTTTATCTTAAATATACATATATATTTAAGTCTAGATCCAGCATGTAAGAGAAAATTGATATTTGTCTTTCAAAGCCTGGATTATACTGCTTAAAACTATGATTTTCAATTCCATTCATTTTTCTGCAAATATCATACTTTCATTCTTCCTTATGGCTGAATAAAACACCATAGTGTTATATACTATATTTTCTCCATCCACTCACCTGTTAATGGGCATTGGGATAGGTGCCATATCACGGCTATCATGAGTAGTGCTATGGTAAATATGAGTGCAAAAGTATTTCTGGTATCACGTGAGCACATGGACTCCATAGCAACTTCCATGATGGCGGCACCAGTTTGCATTCCTACCAGCAATGATAATTGTTCATATTTGTCAGAATTAGGAGCTGTAACCTGTGTGGGTTGTTTCTAATTCTCTATTCAGTTTCATTGGTTTACCAGTATGTTTCTTTTTCTCCCGAACTCTTGCTGTAATTTTGTTACCGTGGCTCAATAGTATGATTTGATATCCTGTGTTGTGATACCTTTGGCCCTATTCTTTCTGCTTAATATTACTTTGGCTATTTTGCGGCAGTTCCGTGTTCTGTCTCGCTGAATTTTAAGACTATTTCCTACTTCTGTGAGTCATAGAATTGAAATTCTGATACAATGTTCTGATAGAGACACTATAGACTCTCTATATTGCTTTTGCCAGTTAGAATTCTCCAATCTATGTGCCTGGCAGTCTTTTCATCTTCTAGTGTCTTCTACTGTGTCTTCAGTTTTTAAAATTTTATTTTATGTCATAGGTTTGAGTATTTTGTCTGCATATCTGTAGTGCACCATATGGATGCCTGTTGGACTTGAAGGTCAGAGCAATGCAATGGACCCTGAGATTGGAGTTACAGATGGCTGTGAATCTTCATACAGCGGTGCCAGGAACTGAACCTTGGGTCTCTCAACAAGTGCTCTCTTAACCACTGAGCAATCTCTCTAGCCCCATATTTCTTTAGTTTTAAGGCATTCATTGTGATGTCTTTTACCTCTTTGATTAGGTTAGATTTTCTTTTTTTAAGTTTCTATGAATAGGATTTTCTTTTTTCCTCTTGATATCTTTCTTGGCAGATTCACTAGTGCTATATAGGAAAGATACTGATTTTTACGTTAACTTTGTGTCCTGATACTTTGTAGAGAGCCTTTCTGGTAAACTGTATGAAAGTATCACCTGTAAATAAAACGCAGATGGTGTATCGGCTTAGGCAGAAAATAGAAGTGGGCCTTCCAATAGGGAGAGAGGAACTCTGGGATAGACTCAGGCAAAGTA